TAATAGAAAGATAGAATAGCAGACCCTAGGAGCTCAGTGAAGACTACAGAGGATCTCCAGAAATAGATTTCCTAGGTAGACCTAGGCTGATGTACATTATTAAAGACATGTCATGCAATGTATTTTTTTTAAATCTGAAACTAGTGCAGCTTATTTCAGCTGGTCTGATGGGTTCATCTAGCCATTGTCTCCAATGCGTATTTTGTCTCCTATGGATACCTAGTTGCACTACAGCAATGATACATGTGCTAATGATACTCCTTTTTAATTTCTGTCTTCCTCCTCTGTTGTGGAGGAATTTAAATTCAAGATTAGAGCTTAAAATTGAAGGACATTTATTTAAATTGAGATTGAAACCAAGCATGAAGATGAGACGAGTTAGCATTGAACCTCCAAGTTAGGTTCTTTGTTGGTGAGATTGAGCTCTTCTGTGAGCAACTGCTGGGGTTTTTTTGTGTGGTCTTCAAGATCAGTACAGTTCTGCCAAATGTATTTCAGCAAGTGCTTCCAAGATGGGAATCCCATAAGGGTTAAGAATAAATTATTTTCTTTCAAAACTAGAAAAGCTGCTGTATCAATTTGTTGGTTTCACATAGTGCCTCTGAGAAAGCTTCAGAAATACAGAAGACGTATTTCTAGTTATAACAGATGAGGGCAGTTTAAAATGACAATGAATAGAGAAAGAGATTCTGCTTTAGCTTGGTGCTTAGGGCTGGTTTTGGGAGAGGTTTTATGGTTTTATTCTTCTTGGGCTTTTTGAACAAAGATTCATGCAAGATTTGCATTTAAAGAAATTACAGTTTTAGCCAATAGTCTAGGTGAGTTTGATCTTTATTCCTTTTTATTTTTGTCAAAAACAGTAACTGCTGCAGTTGATTTGTAAAGTATACGTTACTATATTTGAAAATCTCTGCTTTTTCTTCAGAAAATTGCTTTTGATCAAATAACCTCAACACTAAAAGATGGATCTGTACATTAAAAGATGTTTATTAGAAGTAAAAACTAAAAAAGAAGTAAGAGATAATAGTATGATGGAGATGAAGAAAGTTGGGCTTTCCTTCTTTTGATTGCTACTTTTCTGTAATATAGTATTTAACTAATTGTGGGTTTTCTTAAACTACTCTGCGGTGAGTTGGAAGGTATTCTTGTTTCATTGATGTCCTATTTCTAGCTACATTCTCATTGTTGGTGCTTCACTTGGTGCCTTTTAAGTTAAAACTTTGTTTTGCCTGCTCTACAGTACGAATGTGTACCTAACCTTTCTTTTGGATGAAAAATGCTAACAGTTAAGAAGTTCTGCAGTAAGGCAGATTTATAAAATACCTACTGTCATGTATACTGTAAATGTTACAAGTGTTTGTTGGAAAGTTAGATGCTTTAATTGTTCCAGTTTGCTTTTGCTATGTTCTTCTTGGTCATTGTGTTAGTCAGCAATAATGGGCACAATTCTCATTCACAGTATATAAAACATGTTAATTTTTAATTATGTCTAAATAAATGCCTAATTTTCAGAAATTATCTTCTTCTATGTGATAAACACTTAATAGGTAAAACACTTGCAGCTGTCCTTTTATCATCCGGTATGATAAGTAAATGTCAGGAAGTTATTTCTGTGTTAATCAGGTACCACATCAAATCAACATGAGTTATTTAATTATTAGTTTTTCTTGAAGTGAATACAAAGTGCACGGAAAACTATACACCTAGGAGCCACATAAAGAAGTTTTAAAGGGGATGCTTTTATTTAGATTCTGCTTTCTAATGCCTGCTTTTGAAGCTGCTGGTTTTTCCTGTGTCTCAGCTGTGAAGGCAGTTCTGCAACATGTTAAACACTTATAAATCAATGCTTGTATAGTCCAAGCTTATCCTTTCCTTTTCTTGCTCCTATATTTCTCCTTTCTCCATTCTGATTCCACAGTGACCCATTCTAGAGCTCAATCAGCTGATAGGAAGGAAGTGGAAGTGCTTTTTAGACAGCTCAGCATTCTCAATCATCTCACCATGTGGTCACCTTTAGTTGAACCCCACAGGCTATATCACTTCAAAATAAAAATGTCATCTGTAAAGCCAGATACTGATCAGTAAAATACTGAGTTAAGAATTGAAGATTGACAAAAACATACAAACTTAGCTTAAAATTCAGTTTCAGATTAAAAAAAAATCAAAAACCAAAACACAAACAAGACCACCTTGAACAAAAACAAAAAACAACAAACACACACGAGTCCAGTATTCATAAGATGGATATCTCTATCTGAAAAACTTTTGGAGGATAGATACAGAAATAATTTGAGATCTAGATGGGCCTAAGAGTGGCCCCTCAGACTCTGTATCTTCAGGATTTTTCTTGACAAAATGTATTTCAGAAATAAACTTTTTCCTTAAAACTGCTATAAATTTCCAATAGATTTTTTTTTTCTTACAAACCTATTTTTAAATTATGGGATTCTTAAATATATGTTACACAGAATTAAAGAGAAATTGCAACTGAAAACCTGAACCTATAATAAAAGTTACATAAATGGACCTCTAGGTTCTGGTCAAAGGAAATGAGGAAACTGTGTCCTTCTAATATGGAACAAGTATATTATTTTCAGTTGCAGGGGCAAAGGTGTGTTGTTTGATGCATATTGACCTATTCATTCTTTGATTGTACTGAATTATTTTAATCACATCTTACTCTTAAACTTGTAATTTAACTAGAACACTGGCATCTGTAAGGTGGTGGCTTCATATCTAATCACATGAAAGTTCCATCCTTCTTGCTGCCCTGTAGTTTCATTATTCTTCCAAGCTACGTAGGCTGTTCTTGTCAATATATGGCAGTGTTACTGAACATTAATTACCAAGACTATCAAACTGAGTTATCAGCATAACAAGATGAATGTTTGCAATTTAAGTAGAATCAAACACTTTATATTCTCCTCTGCTCCATAGCATAATTTAAAATGAGAACATCCGTGTCCCTTTCGAACTAACAAAGAGCTAGAAAAGAAGTTAGAATTTGAAGGTTCTTTGTCCTCATGCATTATTAAAAATCTTCTAAAGTGACTTTAGACTGAACCTTCTGTAGAAATGTGATTAGAAGATTATGGTTTAATTTAAATTTTATAATTCACAAAACACCTACATCTCTGCAGCTTAATTCTGTTCTAGCAAAGCTTTCAATATTTCCATAATTTATAATTGGCAAATTAAACAATTTCTCTCATTTTAAGTTTAGAAAAAGCCTGCAGTCTAAACAGTATTTTATTCTATTTCATGTAAGTAAAAATTAAAGTGAGTAACATGTTTTAATTGTTGTTCTTGAATGATGCAGAAGGAAAACAAACAGCCTCAAAAGTTGGTGCTTATTTCAGACTGGTCAAATTCAATAGTTGCTATGTTAATTTCAGTGGTAATTTCCTTTCCCACCTCTTTGGATGCATACTTACTGGATTTCTATCACCTGGACTACTTAGCATCTTAAGTTGTCTATCTTTGATAACAGAGCTGCTGTGACAGTTTGCAAGTTTAGTGACGAGGTAAAATAATTCATGAGGCAGATGAGATGTAGGAAGCCACTAAAGGTGACTGGTTTTATCACCTGAAGATATTTGGAGAAGTCAGATACTTTCATTACTCCTTCTCACCCTTATAACCCTACTTTCCATCTCTCAACTTCCTTATATAATGAGAAAGATCTAGAAAAATTAACTTTCACAGATATAGATACATGTATAAATACACACTAAAAGGAGGTTCAGCATCACAGAAATGTGATTTGGCAGATTGAGAAAGCGTTTCTTATAGAACAAGTAAATATGACGATGTTTAGACTGTGGATAGTAGTATACTGGGAAATAAATAAGGGACTCAGTGACTTTGGCAGATGATCTAGTTTTTGCCTGTTAACTAAGGAGACTTCATCGACCAACTTTACAAAATCCAGTTAAAATACTAATACCAAGCTCCTACAGAACTGTATCGGCTAAGGGGCCTTTTGAAAAGGTGAATTTTTTTATTACAGTATGAGCTTTGATTTCATAGCCTGGAAAAGCACATTCCCTGAAATTTTCCTCGTCTGGGACATAGCATCTCCTTAGCAAGTCAAGTTTGGTTATAATCAGGGTTTGCAGTGGTAGTCATTAATGCAGCAATTCTAGCTGGTGCTTTGTGGCTGCTTACGTTCAAGTACTGCTCTGCTCTTCCTTCTCAGCCCATGCAAGGTAACTGGTGGTGGCTCATCTCTTAGTCGGAGGGCAGCGTGATTCTGAATACGCTAGGCAGGGCTGCAGGGTCAAAATATGAACATAGGGATTTCTCCTGGAGTAGGTAATGAGCAGTAATTTTTTTTTTTTCCATTATATTCTCTGTGTGTTAGAATTCTAGATGCAAATAGACACTGCTTATTTAAAAATTAAAAGGTTGTTATTCTACTAAAGGTTTTGGAAATACATGGATTAAAGGCACTTGAAGAACATTTTTGATAACCTGTAAATTACTCAGATTTACCTAATTCTGCAAGCCTGGTATTTATCAGCCATTGTGTTAGTCAACTTTCGAGTGTTGTTTTTAATCTTATGTTTAACAAACTACATGTGAACTCATGATTCTTCTTAAAGTCTTGCTGACATCACAAAAGTTTAAAACCAGTTCTGAAAATTAAGTAAGTTTGCATGGTAGACTTGTGATGGTAGATTTATGTTAAAAGTAATTTTCTCTCCAGCTTTCACACAGGGATTGAAGCACTTATTCTTCTAGATATATCACATTATCATCAGAAATAAATTGTAAAACTTTCTCTATATTATGGGTCAAGATGAAAATACATCAAAGACAATCTTCAAACAAAAGACCCATTTGGATGACTAGTTTATGGATTTCGAAAAGGTTTGGTTTATCTCATGAATTTTTCACATTTAAAAAAATAATAGATTATTCACAGCTGATTATCTCTTGCAAACAGGGTTTCTGATTTTGCAAATACAAAGCTGACAGTCTTTTCTTCTCTTTGACAGATGGAGATGGACAAAGTGAACATTTATTGCCAGTCTGTGAAGATACAGAATGTCAAAAAAGTGCCATCTACTTAACTAAGCTGGGATTGGATCAGGTATTTTGAGTTTGGAATTGCAAAGACAAAAGAAATTACTGTGCTTTATAAAATAAAGGAAAGTAAATAGGAAAATGATTTTTCAGGAAAGAAAAATGAAATTTCATCACCTGTCATTATTGCATATGAGACTTGTATTTATTTACTTATTTATTACCTATCTAGAAAAATATGAGTTTAGAAGAGTTTGCATACCTAGAATTCTATATAATGGATAATGCTGCTTGAGAAAATTGCGGGTTCTTCTGATGAGTCATTTTTTTGGTTGCAAAACACTGCGTTCTAAGCACCGTAACTACCCTAGCATGAGATGACAAGCAAGGGTTGTGTTAAGAGTCTGAAATAGATCTAACTAATTCAAATAAGCTTCTTCAGTTGAAGTTAGAGAGTTATTTTATAGTAGAAAAAAACCCCACGCACATACACATATATATATACACACACACACACTCTTAACAAGTTGAACCACCCCATACCTCTTACCCCATATTGTCTTCGATTGTTATTAATTAAGTAAATTTCCAAATGGTATATGAAGACTTCTTTAGGCTATGTATCTTCAGGATTAGGTTTCTGTTGAACTATTTCAGCTTCGTTTGTTCATAACACTACTTGTCTTGAGAGGCATGGTCGTAATTTATGTAATAGATTACTATATATTCATTTATTTTAAAGTGTGTGCTAATCTGTTTTAAGTATTTACAGTGCCCTGCTTTCTTATAAAGTTACAGCTTAAAATAAATTAACCTAATGTTTCTTTGATACCCTATAAATGTTTTTACTAAATTCATATTTAGCAAAGTGACTCTAAAGACCAATGTGACCTATAAAGAACTCGCTTATAGCTGACAGCGAAACCCACTGTAGTGTACTTACAGAAATCTATAATGTATGCCATACATGTTTCTAATCAGGATATTAATTACTGATTATTCCTTTACTAACAAATTAAAAATAGAATTTTCTTGTGTAAGTAGTACCCTCTCTGATCTATATTTCAGAATTTATAGGTGAATGTATTATCTGCTCAAGGAACCACACATACTTTGATTAAGTGCTTCTTGTTACAGTCTCCAGCCCAAGTTTATAGTGTAGATTTTCTCTTTTAAAGAATCAGAATTTCTAGATCACAGGCTATAGCATGCTTTCCTACAGTGAGAAAATCACTCTGTTTTTGAAAGGAAAGAACACTGTTACCAGTAGTTAAAGAGGTATAACTAGGATGGAATATACCATCATTGTAAGAAAGAGTAACTAACTCCAAATCTGGTAATATATCTCTTTCAGCCTTCTAATATTGGCATCTCATTTCTGAGAAATGCATGTTTTCCTGTGCACACTGTGGTTGGTTGGTTTTGGGTTTTTTACGTTTCATAGATTTCTAGGTTGGAAAAGACCTTGGAGATCATCGAGTCCAACCATCCCTAATCCCCATTAAACCATATCCTCAAGTAGATCATCCACCCTATTCTTAAACACATCCAGGGATGGGGACTCAACCACCTCCCTGGGCAGCCTATTCCAGTGGCTGACAACCCTTTCAGAGAAGAAATACTTCCTAACATCCAACCTGAATCTCCCCTGACTAAGCTTATGCCCATTTCCTCTTGTTCTATCACCCATCACTAATGTAAAGAGTCCTTCCCCCACCTCCCCACCATCTTTTCTCAAGTATTTATAGGCCGTAATCAGGTCTCCCCTCAGCCTCCTCTTCTCCAGGCTAAACAGCCCCAACTCCCTCAGCCTCTCCTCATAATCTCTTGTGAACACAGAATGGGTTATAGTGTTCTTGATACTCATTGTTGCAGTAGAGTTTGATTTACGGGTCATGGCCTTTGCATAAGGCAAGTAGATGCTCAATTTGTGATACTTGCACTGCTCTCTGATCAAAGGAGAGAGCACAGACTTTTGATAAGCATGTTACACCAATTGTAGTGCTGTAACTGGCTGCTTACATTTCACTGTTGAGTAGTTAGGGTGCTCTTATGTCAAAAGACAACTGCTCTCTAGCTCTAAATTTAGTTCTTTACTCTTGATAATATAAGAAGTAAAAGACACTTGAGTTTTTCTGCTCAAGTAAATTTGAGACAAATATTCTCAGTGAAAGTAATTTCACTGTAGAAAATCGACACACACAAATAGTGTGTACCATTGAGAGATACAAAGCTGTTACTTGAGAGTAGCAGATGACTGAGCAGTGTGCTAAAGAAAAGTTATATTATCTGTTATGTTTCTAGAAGGAAGTGATGCAGTAGCAGCAGAGCTTCTGCTGTGGGTCAATTTGCCTAATACCAGAATTTTTCTGAAGTGGAGTCTTTTATTGTCACCTGCTCAAAGTAACGTTGCACGTAGACAGTTTTTCTGTTCCTTACTGCATTTTTTTGATAGAGGTCAACTATTTAATTACAAATACATCGGATTTTTAACATAACCGTTTTTGTTACTCATCAGTATATTTAATTTTTATACTTAATTTGGCAATCTCACTGTGTAGTTTCAATTTTAAAATAATCTCCAAGATAATGACATTTGAGTAAAAAAATTAGCAGCCAAATATTGTCATTTTATTTCAAAAATGAAGAAGCCAACAGATTCTCATCCTGCTAGAAAAAAGCATTAAAAAGCATTAAGGGTTACCTAGAAACCTGAAAGTGATGTTCCCTGCATATTTTTAGAATTACTTTAATTAAAAATGACAGTATCAAATGGCCTGCAATAATGACTTGTTCCAGACTAACTTTTTAAAGAATTACATCTAGAATACTCTCTTCTTGCACTCCTAGACTCATCTAGAGGTGATGGAGCTTTTTCTTCGAAGCATTTTATCTTTTCCATTCTGAAACAGTGGAGAATACCAGTATCTTCATTCTTATGTCTACAGTTTTTCCCATGTGTTGCATCTTTCCTTCAGGTAGAAATGTATTCAAACATGTCACTTTCCATGGAAGTGAAATGTTTTAGTTTCATTTAATTTGGTCATTGTGAGATCACATGACCCAGCTTCTAAGCTTTGACTAAGTAAGTTAATCTTCTTGAGAAATGATAAATGTAAACTTCGGGCAACAGACTAGCATGAGTTCCTTTTATTTATTTAATCGCTGTACAATTCGAGGGAAATAATGATGAGCCCTTGTGGTGCAGGGGATGGTGTCACTTGTGGAACAGGTAGGTGATTATAGGGAATCCATGGGAAACTGAGAGATTAAAAGTCTATTAATGAAAAAGTAGAAGATGGTATATATCTATTATTTCTTCAGTCTTTGCTGTAGGGTTTTATGGGGGGGGTATTGTTAAGAGTGTAGCTAAGAATTCTGTTTTCTAGAAATTATTTGTTTTGTTTGGTTGACTTTGTTTATTGTGGGTTTTTGTTTGGTGGTGGTTTTTTGTATTTGAAACTTACTGATCTCAGATCTGAAAGATCGCAAAGCAGATGACTGTCTTCCAAAAAATATTTCACCTGTGGTAACTGGACCTGGTTCTGTCCTTCCTGCTTGTTTGTTGTGGCTTTTGATGAAACCGAACGAAAAACAGTTAATGTGGTTTCATGCTGCATTGGGATGAAATGCATAGCAAGCAGTAAAATACATCTGTACAATCTGTGGTTCTAAAAATAGGCTGTGGAGAGGCATGCGATGGTATGTCAGCCTTTGGAGTTGTCCTGGTAAGATCTTGTTTGATGTCTGTCAGTCTACAGTGTATTTCTCATGATGTCTGTGACACAGCTGTGTGGCTACTGGAATGCCAAGCAGATCTAGGAGAATTATTTGAAGGATGATCTTTCACTGAAAGTTTTAATTTGTTTAATGATTTCATCTTTATTAAAAATATCTCAGATAAATTTTCTTCTTTTGGATGATGGAGCAAAAGTGAAGGCCAACAAAATACATATGAGTGACTTAAGGAGATACGGACCTACTAACATTTTAAAAGAATGTGAATGTTTCCGTAGCAACAGAAGAATTGCTGTCAAATCTGAAGTAGAATCTCATACGCTGTTTCAGATTGTGGCAGGTGTTAGGACACCTCAGACTTCTTTAAATTCAGATGAATTTCCTAGCTGTTTTACACCTTTCATCTAGATTCTGAAAATTAGACTGAGTTCTCCTTGAAACTTGTTTTGAAGTCTTTAGTACTGTTTATTGTAGAAACTCTAGATATTATGATATTCTTAGAGATGACTAATCTTTCCTTTAATTTTACAAAGTATTCAGTATGATTTTTCATTTGTTTCCTGAGGAAAACAGTATTATTTCAGTCCCATCATTTGAGAGTTTCTTTCTGAGCTTGATGATTCTTACAACATTTCTCTGTACAATACAAAGGTTACAGCTTTATTCATCTTACAATTCTAGCTTCTTTGAAGTAGAACACAGCAGTGCATCTTTGTGGTGTCATTCTTCAGGGTAGAGAGGTGTATTTGACAGCATTGATGATCAGCTGCAGTTGGTGGCTGTTAGTTTTTCCTTGTTCCCCTGTAATAGTTCAAAAGGGAGGGGCAGATTGCAGCTGCTGTAATTTTCATAAATCTCAGATTCTACAAGATCCTCTCATCATTTCTAAGTTGCTCATCTTTCTCAAAGCTGCTATGGGATGTGAGCCATATGCCACCATCAAAAACATGACTCTTACTGCCTTGGTTACTTTTTTCTATGTTGCTAAATCAGTGCTGGGGATTGTAGTCTTCTGGGCTTTGAACACCTAAGTTAATGATGAAATGTATAGGGAATTTACTTCGTTTATTTTTATACAATAGTGGCTACTCGACTGTATGTGGAATTCAAGTGACCTTCGTATGCGCTGAAAACCTAATGCATCATGAAATTACTGGATTTATTTTTTATGTGCAGCTGAACTACAGTACACATGTACAGCAGAAGAGGAGACCCTGGGGGGAAGGACTTCTGTTGCTGTGGCCAGGCCACTTGATACTCGTCTTTCTACAGGGTGGGATAGTGTTTGGCATAGAAAGGGGGAACTCTGGCATTTCCAGAAAACGTAGAGACCAAGAATTGGCTACCTATTTCCAAATGCTTTCTGACGCGCAGCTGGCTCCCTGCCTGTGTTAAGTGGCCTGGAACTGGGCAGGAGGCCAGATGGGGGTTTTGTGCTTCATAGGTTTCTGACCGTAGTTTAAACATCGAGATGTGTTAACCCCACAGTTTTGACTCAAAGACCTGCCTAACAGGCTTTATAGCAAGAGAACTGTGTTTTCTAATGTATAGAAGAATGTGGATTTTGATAGAAATGAGCCATTTTCAAGTTAAGTGGGGTGCAACTAGTTTTAAATTTTTCAAGTACCTGACATCTTTTTCAAAATGAAAAAGACGCTGTCTTCACTGGGCAATAAAGCATTCTGTCTTTTACTTGTTAATAAACAAATATTTGAAGAGTTTGAAAACAGATTTTCAAGCACTTAAATATTTTTCTTTTTTTAGCCTACAAAATCATTAATTGAAGGAGTAAGAACATCTATATGAATGTTTTAAGTAATGATATTAGTAGTGCTATGCAGTGGAATTTAACAGAAAGGGAAGAATTAAATCTTTGATTTCTCTGAATTTTGTTTGTTCATTAAAATTTTCTTTTAGATACACTCATTCCATTTTTCTCATTCCATTTTCATGATTCTATGAGTCTATCTGTTTTTTAATCTGAGCTAGGTAACAGAAACCATGTGATCAGAAACAAAAAGTAGCTGTGTGTTTCTCCATTATACCCACCTATTTCTGTCTTAAGAGTAAAAGGAAAAAAGATTAATTTTAGTCTTTTTGCTGTTAAAAGAGTAACAGCAAACATGAAGCTTAAATTAATTGTCTGGATTATCGAATACAAAAGAAGATACTTATATTATTGGCTAACATATTTTCATTTGCCTTCTGTACTGAAATATACGTCCTGAGGTACATGTACAATTAATCTTGTGTTACATTACACTGCCATTAATAAAAGAAATGTGCAGAATGAGTTTCACAAGAAGTGTGGATTACTCTGAATTTAAACTGTCAGAGTAAGTTATGTATGGTGCTAGTATGTGCTCTGGTTACATGGTGAACAAGACTGAGGTTTTTGAAATGTTCTGTAACTGGTGTTATAAAAAGTCGCACAACTGGTTCAGCGAGGTGGATGAACCTTACTTTGTAGCGTGCACCGTGCCGATGCTTGGTAGCAGTAGGTGATATTTCTGTTTTGCTCACCTGGTGTTTTATATCTCTCCATTTCATTGTAGACCTTACGATTGTAAAATTGCTTTCTATGAATCACTCTTTGAGTAGAGTAGAAACAGAATGCAAATTTGGATTTGTGCCTAAAAATTAATTTTTAATTTTGATTCTTTAAAATAGTGTTACTGTACATGGGAACGTTTAGAAAGTATATGATGGATATAATTGGATTTCATTCCAATGACCGTGTGAATGATACCGTATAAAGTAAAAACTATATTATATTTCACGGTTCTGATTTCAATCAGTGGTTTTCAAAATTACAGTATTTTTGTAATAATATTGTTTCCTTTGTCTTCTGCATGACAAATAAGTGCCAAGAAATGTAACCCTTTGAAAAACACTCCTCAGGTTAAGAGTCTTTTTCTTATTTTCTGTTCCTTAGATTTTTTCAAAACCTTCAGCAGCTAACAGTAACTAAATAGGCATGCATATATGGAGGGGGGGGGTGGGGAATGTGGTCAAAGTATGTTTTATTTCAACTTTGAGTTCTCATCAAGAGTATTGTAGATGAGCATTGCAGTTCAGATGTCATCACTTACACAGGCAGACATGCAGTGAGTATACGCAGTGTCTGGCAGAACTGTTCCAGACTCCTAAGCCATGTGTGATGTCGATACAAAGTTGACCTCAGTGCACGTTTTTAATTATTTTGAGGGCCTAATATGCACATGGTTGTATGTAATCTCGAGGGATGAGCCCACGTGTCAATTGCCATGTGGCAGGAATGTTGTTAGTTGCTGGATTGTGTTAGTGAGGGAGTCTCTCCACAGCAGGAGATGATGCTGTCAGGGATCTCATTCTGGTTCCTGAAGTAGCTAAATTAAGGCTTGGATGAGAGACATTTAAGATGTTGTTAAGTGCTTTTGATGTTGGTGATAGTGATGCTTTAAGATGACACCCTTCTGTCCTTTTGAAGGCACTGTCAGTTAGTTGACATATGAAATTACTTCTAGCCTTAAAACGGCACTGAATTTTTCTGTAGTGTTGAAGTGTTTAACCCTGGTGCTTAAGCTTCATACCAACTCGTGAAATTACTTTGATTTTAATTAAGATAAATTCCTATTTAGCACCTCTGCAGCACTTTGGAAAGTAAGTGCAGGTACATTCTATTTCTTGTCCTGGAGAAATTATACTTTGCATTTCTTTTGTACTTCCAATTTGATACTGTAATCTTAACTTCTTATCAAACAGTTCAGTATCTGCTGGAGAGATAGGAGGAGAATTGAAGCTCTTGAACTTCTAAATATCCATGAATAATAGAATCATTCAAGCTTAAATTAACTTTAGGAGATCCAGTCTCCTGCTTTAAGCAGAGTCAACACTGAATTCGGGCCATGTTGTTTAGAGCTTTGTTCGGTCAAACTTTGAAAACCTCCCAAGGACAAAGATTCTGCAACTTCTCTGGGCCTCTTTCCTAGTTTAATTGTCATCATAATGAATTTTTGTTTTGTTTATCTCTAGTTGGAACCTCCTTTGTGTCAGTCTGTAACCATTGTCTCTTGTTCTTCTGCCATACATCTCAATAGAGAGCATGCCTCCATCTTCTCAGTTACCTCCTTGCAGGTTTTGGAACGCCACTATTAGGTCTCCTCTAAATCTTCTGTTCTCCAGGCTGAACAAGCCTTGTGCCCTCAGCTTGTCCTTCGAGTAAATATTCAACACCTGGCCATCTTGGTGAGCCTTCTCTAAGCACACTCAGTATTCTCAAACTTTCTTGAACCATGGGGTGCAAGACTGGGCACAGAATCCAGATGTGGACTAACAAGTGCTGAATAAAGAGAAATAATCGCTCGCCTCCATCGGCAGGAGCGTAGGCAGCAGTTACGCTGTTTGCTGTCATAGCTGCCACGCAGCTTTAGCTTACTGTCCACCAGGATCCACGCATCGTTTTAGTAGAGCTGCTACCCATCTGGTCAGTCTCCAGCCTGTACCATTGCAGGGTTTTACTGTCCTGTGCAGGACTTTCTTTGCTGATAGTTATGAGGTCCCTGTTTGCCCATTCTTGCCTTTCTAGGTCCCCTCTGAATGGCCATCTTGTCCTGAAGCACATTGATTTTGTCTCCCAATTTGGTGTTGTCCACAAAGTTAATGAGGGTGCATCCCTCCTCCAGCTTTAATGCTGCCTATTGCTTGCAATTCCAAGAAAAACAAAGAGACTCAGGATCTCAAGGCCCAGATGGTCTGGGCTTACCTACACCTAGGACTAGTAAAATTTAATGCAAGCCTGAATTTCAGTGAAGTTATTCCTGAATATCTCCATATACTGAACACATTCCAAAACACAGGTCCTTTATTCTTACAACCTTATCTTTTTTATTTTTTTTCCTGTTCTGGAATAATTTAGTGAATAGAGAAGACTTCAAATTAATTTTTTCATTTGGCAACAGATTTAGGAAATAATCATTATTTCCTCTTTGGAAACTTGTAAATGGTTAAGAATCCTGATGCAGTGAATAAATGTCAGCTCTTTTAAAAAGAACGAGGTTGTTTTAATAAATAAAATAGATTTTCTTACCTAGCTGTTCTTTTTTGTTTGTTTATTTTACAGTGGATTCCAGTCTTGCAAGACTTCAGAAATAAAGACACACTCTGGGGCTTTGTACCCTATCAAAATGACAAATCTTCAACAGAAGTTTCATTTCCAATTACACTTCATATTGGAGACTACAATATGGATGGCTACCCAGATGCTCTTGCTATACTAAAGAACACATCCGGAAGGTAGGGTATATGTAAACCTAGAAATAAAGACTATCAAACACATGTTCAGTCATCATTACTAAATTTAGTGCATCTTGTTCATTTTATCAAGTGAACAAGACTCTTGATCTCTGCTAAATGTTTGATTTTAAATAGGTATGCATTTACACGGTGTACTCAAAACACATAATTGTATAGGCTTAGACTATGACTCTTGGTGGGGATTACACAGGGGAATGGAGTGTGAAGTACCATTGTAGGCACTCCTCGTAAATCACAGGAGCTGGTTATCTCTCCCTTTCCTTTCTCAAATCATCTTCTGTAAAATCCTGACTTCAGCTTTCAGTATTGGCTGGTAACACCAGGCAGCTGAGAGTTGGGGAACCTGGTCCACGCTGTCACATGGAGTGACCAATGACTGGTGACTCTGCTGAAAAATGCACTACTGTGTTTTGCCCCTTTTGGGAACCAGGAATTTTAGATACACATAATAACTTGCCAGCGATTTTGTATTGTCCAAATTTAACCGAAATAAGTTCCCACTCCTCCCCTGTTTGGGGAAAAAAAAAATAAATCTTCTAACCTTTCCTATTAAATTTGTCAGTGTAATCTTTCACCTCCTTATTTTTTTTCTTTATTGCTTGTTTTCCCAATACTTTCTTTGTATTGCTACCATCTGGTGTTAGGTGAGAGAGGGCATGTACTGATCCTTACAGGGAGACTATTGTACGTTGAGGAGCTGGTGATCCACATAACAGCTGACCTGAGTAGGTGCACGCCTGTACTGTTCTGCACATATCACTTGGCTGCAGGATAAACTTAGCCAGCTAATCGTAACGGAGGAGCCTGTAGGCAGCTCTCACTTGGCACCTGGTGGTGATACCACTGGCATGTCCTTGTTTTTACCTTGAAGTAAAGCAGCATGTTCTCCTGTGAACATCCTTTTGCTTGACAGTTGAAATGATGAATAGACTTGTTTACTTCTAAGAAAAACCTAAAAGAGCTCTAACTACCATAACGCCAGTGAACCTCACTGTAGACAGGATACATGCACCATGCTGTGCCCTGACTAGAGGTCTGTCTGATGCTGCCCAACTTGGGTTTTCCAGTATCTGAAGAGATGTAAAGTTATCTGTACTATTCCCTTTTTCTTCCTCATGTCATTGCTTGTAAAAGATATTCTAATCAATACCTGATGGAGTCTCAACATCGTCCTTACTGGGATCTATGACAAACACTTGGACTAATGTGTTACAAGACAAAGTAAGAGTGTCTTACATGTGTACTTATTATTTTCTTCTGTGTAGTATTTTGGATGAGGTTGGGTGAAGGTTATAGTTTGAATTAATACTCAGTAAGGAACAGAACTGAGGAGCTTGCTGTGGTGCTTAGAACAGTACACAGACAGAATTTAGATGCTGAGGTCAAAGAAGTCAATTCACATCCTCTAGTGGTTGCCTAAACATGAGTCACCCACTGACATATTTGTTTTAGAGTTCTTCAGATACGGACACATACCTAAAAATGACGCAGTCTGAAGAGTTACATGCTTGTATTCAGCCCACGTGATGTCATTCAGAGACAAGGCAGTGAGCAGCTGAGCTCTGTCTCTGTACCTCTGAGCTTTCAAATAACTAGCATAGCAGCTGTTTATATTCAGGTAAGGCAGAGGAGAAGGCAGTGATGTTGCTACTGCCCAGAACTTGCATAGGCAAAGTTAAAGCACTGGAGCCCTGAATGTCAAGTTTTTTACTCCATAGTCTTGCTCAGTTGAGAGTTTGCATCTTCTGTTCAGCAGTCATTGCATAAAGGCTGTAAACAGTCTAGAGAGCAGACTAGAAGCAAAGTCTTTCTTTTTCCATAGAAATACCATGACATCTAATCTGTAAAGTTGTTGTTGCCTTTGGTTTTACTTAAGCCCCACAAATCTTGTGGTTTGAGCTGTACTATAGGCTATCTCCTAGTGAGTATCCTGATGGCTAGTACACTTCCAAAGGACTTTGTGAAGATGTATGGAGTTCAGAAGTTTATTTGAAGTTATTCTATCTTTTAAGATTCTTAGGAGCCTCTCTCCTCTGGCTTGTGTATATCTATGGCAATGTAATATTATGTAAAAGGTTTAAATAGTTTATAGTTACTCCTGTAGAAGCCCAGGAAGTTTCCGATGTCTTGCAATGAATTACTGTGATACGCTTTTATCTTCATTCTCCTTGCTTTTAAATTGCTTATTCAATTGAATTTATCCTAAAGTTATTTTGAAACTTGACTTCAAAGTTGAGCGGCACAGTAAGGCATAAGGACTGAAGGTACTGGCAGATGATTTGGCAGGTTATTAAAAGGGAAGTTCAGAGAGCTGAGGAAGTCTGGCAAAAAAAGAGTAAGTAAACTAAGAATTAAGCAATACATTGCATGGTAAACATTGTGTATTTCCAGTACTTGTAGAAAAGTAATGGAAACAAACTCTTTGTACTTTGGTATGGGAGTGAAAGTCATGTTTTTTGCACTTTCTCTGAAATGTCACTTTCAGAGAAATACTACCTCATTGTTTCTGAGAGAATTAAGCAAATACTTCCTTTTAAAATGTGTAACTGGGTCATAGAGTGGAGAGAATTAAAACAGTGTGGCAATTAAATTAAAAGCTCTTCTTAAATTAGGGCAAATTGAAATGAAAACCTTATTTAATGGATTTTAAACACTCCTGGATCAAGCTGTTTATTTCTTTCTCTGAATCCTTTCATGCTACATCTACAGATGTAATTTCAGTGATTGATTACTGTGATTAAATGATAAAAGCATTTTTGTAAACTCTTGACCTCAATCTGTGCTATAGTCTAGGAAGCCTAGCTTCTAGTTGCTGTCTGTAACTTAAAGAAATTAAAGGAGGCAGAAGCCATTTTTTTATCTGAAAATATACTGATAAGTGATAATGGAAGAATATGATTAACATCAATTATATGCTTTCATCATCATTCTGGAAAGCATTTTCAGATCAAGTCCTTAAAAACATCTACAAAACACTGAAATAAAGACATGATAGGTAGGAGTAACTGTGGTTTACTGTCCTTCCAGGTAAGTAAGTCAGGAAAAATGATTCAAGTATTCTCAGAACCACTGAAGGCCACGCTGTTTCGTCTCCTGCCACATCCTTTTGATTTTAAATAAAATCATGTAATATTCTGACAGCATGGAGAAATTCATTATTAACAGAATAATAATTTTTTAATAATTAATAACAGTTAATTCGTTATTAACAACAACAAAAAGGAGGAATCTGGCTTCTGGTTCAAGTATGGTGGGGGTTTGAACTCAGAGGCTCAGTAAATTCCACTGGTGAAGATGCTAAATTCACAGTCGGTTCTTACGTATTTATCTGTCTGGTGTGAATTCTTTTAACTTCTGACTTGAGTCAAAACCTGCACATTAGAATTCCAGTTCACAGATTTTTCTTCAGGCTAGATACATACATGAATTTTTATTTCCTCTAGTTATGACTCAATTAGAAATGCTGTATGTATGTAGAATAATAACGGGTAAAGAGATTTTATCAGTAGTTATTCATTGGTCCATCTCTACTTCCTGTCTTACCTAAATGTTTTCATCCGCTGGTTTTAAATTGGCTGTGGTAACACTGAAAGCCTAAGTTCTGTATGTGAGTCTATAAACGCAGATCTTTCTCCCACCTAATTAGATGAAATAAATTCTGCTTAACCATTTGTTTCCAAATTAGATGCTACTAGTCACATCTTGCATTGCAAATATGTAACTTAAGGAAGCATATTTTTCAATGATGCTTTTATTCAAAGGGAGTGTTTTTCACGGGTAAAGTAGTGGTAAGGTTGGAAATACAGTACTTCTCTGACATTTGTGGTAAGTAACAGTAAAGACTGAAAGTTGGAGATAACAAACAAGTGGATATGGACAGTTGAATAAAAAACTTTGAGTAGCATACAATTCTAGAAAGTTTTCAAGGTATTCATGCTCAGTTTTAAATTAATGTTTATATGGGTCTACTTGAAAGGACTCTTACTTGACCAGATTATCTCTTCCTAAATCAGTGTTAGTTGTCACTTGTCAGTAGTAAGGTTGGACAAAGGACTTCTTTTAAATGTAGGACTGATGAGCACCTTGTAACTGAGCAAATCTAAAAAATAGAGGCAAATCCAATTATTCTGAATGTCTGGAGTAAGATATTAGTCATTTAGATGTCCCCTGTATAACTGTAAATGAACTAGCCTAAAATTGACAGAATGAGAGATGTAGGAAATTAAGCAGTAAATATTTAATTCTAATTACAAAGTAGGATATTAAAATAAAACTGATAAGTCTTCAGTCTTTCTTTGGTGTTAACTCTTGCTTATAGTAATTCAACCTTATTAAATTTAGCTTTGCTGCATAGTTGACCTTCGGTCAGAAGGTTCCAAATTGTAGACAAATCTATATTTGAACATCATTCATAAGCTGTTTGGGATAATTTTGCAGGTAATTAGGTGCCACTGTGTGCACATTGATGTGAATACCTGTAGTAAATAAACTTCTTGTGTCTATCCGTTCACAAAGTTTACAGTTTATACTTGAACAATACTTTGTACAGAGAGTGTAATGCTAGCTTGACAGTCTTTTGTCTTTTAAATTATTATCATCTAATAATTTCTGGCAATTTAAAAAATGTGGATTGAAAGAAAGCATCTTTGTAAAACTTCCTCCAAATTAAAAAAAAAAGCGTATGTCAGGATGATGAAAAAGAAATTGAAACAATTTGCTCACTGAGGTTGTCACCTTACCTCATAGTTGGTTAATATGCTATGATACTTACATAATACATGAAATTAATGTGAACACGTAACAATTTCAAGTTATGATTATGAATTCTCAGATGCAGGTAATACAATACCTTAAATATTGCAGATCACCTCATTTCATTTTGGCTAGACATTAATTCAATATACTCATGCTTCTAACAGTGAAATAGTAAAAAGTGAGTTGTTCATATTAAGCCTCAGTCAAATGCAGCCATATGGCAGAACAGCAGCCTTCCAGTACCTGAAGGGGGCCTACAGGAAAGCTGGAGAGGGACTTTTCACAAGGGCATGTAGCGATAGGACAAGGGGCAATCGATTTAAACTGAAAGAGGGGAGATTGAGATTAGATATAAGGAAGAAATTCTTTACATTGAGGGTGGTGAGGCACTGGAACAGGTCACCCAGAGAAGTTGTAGATGCCCCATCCCTGGACATGTTCAAGGCCGGGTTGGATGAGGCTTTGAGCAATCTCGTGTAGTGGAAAGTGCCTCTGCCCATGGCAGGGGGGTTGGAATTGGATGATCTTTAAGGTCCCTTCCAACCCAAACCATTCTATGATTCTAATTTGTGTATTTTTCACAGAAGCTCAAGAAATGCGATTATGAAGTTTTGAGGGAAGTGTTTAAATATCCTGGTTTACTTTTGACACGTCCTACAGAGAACAAAACCCTACTTTTTTACCATTGCAGGTTCTTAAGTATTAACTTGGCAACAGGCAAGGAAACTGATTTTACTTTGGTGTCAGAAATGTTTTGCCCTTCTCTAAGTCTTTCTGAAATGGATGGAGCAGATATATGAATGCATATGAATGTGGTGGGATATGATTCTTATGAGTAGCAGATTATCTGAAACATACCATAGAAACAAAGAAAAATAAAAACTTTCCTACAGAGAAACACACTGGTGTGTGTGCATGTGTGTGACTGCATCTTGGAGGCACCAGAAGCTGTTAAGATACAGAAAAACAACTTGCTGTCATCCTCTGAAAGAGCAGAATGTTCAAGGTCATAAAGAAGTGGTTTTGGTTATTGCCCTGGGCTCTGACACGCTTAGCTAGCCTTACAGAACATTGTCTGCTCCATCTCCTGGCTTTGCCCCCAGAAAGAGAGGAGGAAAGTTCATCTGTTCCCATTGCCAAGGCAGAGAGGGATTCTAGCAGGCTCCCAGGATGCAGACCTGCCAAAGAATTGGACCTTCAGTTGGTAAAGTCTGAAGGTTTTCACGGTCCCCGTGAGAGTGGCAATGTTACAATATCAGAGGCAGCATATAATGCTGTTAGTCAACAGCATGCGTGTGTGAACCTTGTGTCTCCCACTGACTGATAGGCATGTATCAGATAAATTCTTCAGAAGGGAGACTTTACTATACTAGAGCTGGTACTCGGGTTTGTTTCTTTCCTGTATTACAGCCTGTCTTTCTGTTTGTATTTGTTGTGTGTCAGCAACGTTTTTTCTATGTCCTATTTTTACTGTGCTAGTAGGTTGGGTTTTGTGTTCTGCTTTGAAACAGTGGAAAAATACCAATAGAGATTGGGTTTAATCTTAAATTTGTTTAAAACATCATGCAATGTGTAAGAAAATGTATTAATTGAGCTGGGGTGGCAATAGATTGTCATAAAATAGTGAAAAAGCAAAGACATTTTAAGTGCTGTTTAACCTGAAGGACTGTGGAGGGATTAAGGAAAATGGCAGATGAGTGTACTTGTGCTTGTTTCAGAAAAAAGTAATAATACGTTCAGTCTGTTGAGTGGATGGTTAATGAAAAAAAAATCCCTGCTGATTTGGACCCACTTATTTAGTGTATTCATTGATTTAAGTCAGGCATGACATAATGGTAATAATTCTGTCTGTAAAGTTAACATAAATGCTTATGGACTTTGAAGTCTCCAGTGGCTGCTAGCTTTGTTTCTATTATATTTAACTTCAGCAGACTTAAATTATTTAATTACAATATTTCGTAATGTGTATTATTTAAACTATTTATAGCAAATAAGTTGTTTTATATGTTTTACAGCAATCAACAAGCATTTTTACTGGAAAACGTCCCATGCAATAACGTAAGCTGCAAGAGCGTGCGTCGTATGTTTAAAGTTTTTTGGGAGCTCTCGGATCTAAATCAAATCAAGGATGCAGTGGTCGCAACCTTCTTTGACATATACGAAGACGTAAGTTCAAGTCTTTACCAGGGCAAAGAGCATCTCTTTCTGCGTTGCTGTATCTGTGTGTGCCATTGGCAGGTTGCTTTGTAGAAACATTGGCTTTGCAGCACATGGCAGGCGGTGCCTTCAGCCTGGGAAATTCACTCTGGAGATGCTCCCTGGCAAGTGAGCAGGTAGCAGCAGCCCATCACTCCCTAAAAGTTTGCTGATCCTCCATACGCTCCTTTTGAGCTGCCCTCTTCAGTGGCAAGAAAGAAGCCATGGACCACATGCATTGTCCTGGTTAGCTGTGGATGGAGCACTCTGTCCTAAGCTGCTGTAGATTTGCAAGATTTGAAAGATGTTAAAACTAGTAGCAAAGGTGTAAACTTTGCTGCACACACTCTGTTTTTTTCCATTGTGTCTCTAAGGGAATTTGTTTGCTAAATTTAGATATTTTCCAGAGTAAATCAGCATTCTAACAAACTTTTTTTTTTCAGGGAATCTTGGATATCATTGTGTTAAGCAAAGGCTACTCCAGTAAGGACTTTGCTATCCATACATTAAAAAATAACTTTGAAGCAGATGCCTATTTTGTTAAAGTTATTGGTAAGTTATCACTGTATAATCAAGCCGAAATGTAACCTTGAGAGGAATGTGAATGTTTGAGCCTCTGTATATGATAACATTATGGTAATCCTCTGTGTATGATAATTCTAGAAAAGAAAAAACACAGCATGGAAAATATCAGGGATTGCAGAAATCTCTTGTTGCGGAATCCGAATTTGGATAAGTTGGTTTTGTTTCATTTCAAAGGGGTTTTTTCTTGGTTTTATTTTAGTGTGCTTATTTAAATTCAGGGTAATTCTGCCTACTGTTTTCAACACTTCAGCTGTTTTTAGTATCAATGTTGGCCACAATGACCTTTAAGTGTTCATTGTGTTTTGAGTGTGTTGTGCGTTTTTTTTTGGGTTTTTTTTTTGCAAGAATGCATGTCTTATTTCACTTGCTAACTAGAGGCAGGTTAAATGTTACTTTCCATCCTGGAACTTTCCTTCTGCATCATAGCAAAATTCTAGAGACAGATACTAGGTCTTTAAAAACTCATTTCTCAGTTCTGAAGGAGAAACGAGAATTATCAAGTATCTAAAAATATGGTCTTCAAGGAAGGTGCACATGGAACAAAGTTATTCTGCCTAAAAGACCAATATAAGGAAGATCCATGTCTTCAGTCAGTAATGATTCATAACAATGGGGGAAGAGTGTTGGGTGTGTCCATGAAGGTATACAACAGAAAGTAACAAACTACAAAGTAAGAACAATTTCCTAAATGGCAGCTCATGAAGTACTAACATAAATTCCTGGAGAAGCTGCAGAGGTGCCAACATTAGAGGTCTTGACAACTAGGTTAAGAAATTATGTAGTATGTTTCATTGGTTTGGAGGGAAAGGGTGGGGTTATCGGAATTTGAGGCCCCCTCTGTGACTCTTTTGTACAAGACCACTTATCTCCTCACATAACATAATATTGTCAATGTAAAAATGGCATTAGAGCTACACATATCTATCATTCAACTTAGATTTATTTTTTTTTAATGTGTGATGCTATTTAAAATTTGAAGGAAGATTAGCTCATAAATCACTAATTTGAGGAAAAACATAACTATGCTTGCACATATAAATATGTATGTCATAGTGAGACAGTAATGAACCAGAAAAAATTACAGCAACATTGACTTGAAGGAACATGCTTTATTTGTCCACAATGACTGCCTTTTTATCTTGTCTGTTTTCAGAAACCAAGGCAAGAAACAATAGCCAAGTGCACTTATTTTCATCTGTGCCTTGAGCAGTTGCAGTATTTTCTTTCCAGCAGGAACTTCTGTCTTTTCTGTGTACCTTTGTCATGTCAGGCCTACTTTACTGGAGTTCTTTTCTGTATCGTCTGGAAATGATGCAGAATCTAGTGCAAAAGGGGCTGGTTTCGTTTCAGTGGTGACAGGCGTAGTGTGTAGTTTGCTTACGCTGCATAACCTATTCTGAGTGCTAGTTCGTTTCCATGTGTGAGTCAGTTGGGCGTTTTCAGCCTAAAACCACTACATGGCACAAAACACATCTTGCCATAAAAGTGTAGAGCGGTACTGAACGTAGCAAGGGTGTGTGAATTAATTAGAGCCTTGGTTTAAAAGGCTAGAGTTAGATTATGACATTTGTAATTGAGAGTAATTAGGTTTTCAAGTTGTATGCCCTTCCATGTTCTTCCAGACTGCAAAGATGTTGAGCTTCGAGCTCATTACTTGTCTATCTTCCTCGATTTTTTTTTTTTTGAGAACAAATTAAAAAACGAGGCTGTATGTCAGCTTATGAGGACAAAGCGAAACAGGAACAACTAGAGGTTCACCTTCAAAAATTGTATGTGCATTCATGTTATTTAAATGCATCTAATACTCCTAAAACACCCATTCTGCCTACCATAAGATAAACAGAACTGCAGCTACTACTGGGGACTGATGCATTTATTGCTTTCTCCTTAGCCTGAGCTGTTTTCGCATCATAATATCCTATAGTAATTTGTCACATTGACGAAAGCCTTCTTTTAAATAATACTGTGTATGGGTAATGTAATTCACACAAGCATGCAGAAAATCCTCTAGAAAAATCTTACACTTCATAAAGCCATATTAGAATTATAATTGTTTGATATTTTAATGGAGAAAAGAGTAAGTTGCTTTTTAATTCACTCTGCGTAAATCTGTCTTTAAAATCGGAGCAAGCCTTTTAGGGCGTGTGTATTTTTGCATAGAAACCCCAGGAAATGGGAATTAGTAAGTAGTCTAAAAATATTTATACTGTGATACAGGGTAGCATATTTCTAACAAAAAATGCTTTGTGGGAGTTAGTGTGTCAATAAATGTATTGTGTTTGCTCGTTCGGCATATAGACAGTGAGAACAGTTTTGCTCATTATAACTGATGTCAAATGTACTTGGTTGGATTATTTGTTCCAGTGGTGAAACCCAACAGCAAATTGCAGCGTGCCATTTTGCGTGTTCCGCTTGCAGACACACCTATGTGTAGCATAAACAACAAGTTCGTAGCTTAAAAAGTCTATTTGTAGGTACACAGTCTTCAAATTCTGCTTTGCCACACCTTTTTTTTGGACTGTATAAAAATAATAGATTTTTCTGTGTTTAGAAACTTCAACATTTTTAAATCACAAGCAAAGAATGATAATTTGAGAATCATGGAAGTTGTTAATATTTGCACATGAAACGTTAGAAACGTTCCTCCACTAGAACAGTGCCATTTCTGACTCCAGTAGGTAATGTTTTCTAATGAGACTATTACACTATGAGCATCTTAGATGCACCTTTTAGTATTTCTCTGTCCCCAAATATTTTGTACCTGAATGGAGAACTAAAGTATACAGAAAAAGCTTTAAAAAAAATCCTAGTGAGTAGGACGACCTGCCCTCTAATCTGGTCCAAATCTTAATTTTTTGCTGTCTGTTATACTTGTTTTGGGATACCATAACTCATGGAGAAGTTGTGGTTTTACTTGGCTTCAATACTGCGTGGTTTGTGTCCTCTTTCCTGCTCATAGTCACTATGGGGCTGCTGCTCAACCAAACTGTTGTCATTTTAAGTTCGAATGTTGCATCAGAGTGACACCTTAGATTTTTTTGGGGGGAGGGGGTTTGTTGTTTGTTTTATAGGCATTTTAGTACTGATGTTCTAATACTCAATGTGACAGGATGTTCTAGGTTATAGACCAGATGGCTTTCATTGTCTGTCATTTAGTTGATTATAAATCAGTGTGTAACAGATATTTCAGTAATTTACCTGATTTTTGAAACTAGTAAGTTTTAAACAAGTAATTGCACAACTGTCACAGGCTTTAGATATTAAGTAGCATTATACACATCTGCTTATAATACTTTTGAATTCAGTTCTCTGCCAATATTTTTAAATGGTTAGAAAATGAAGAATAGTTAATAAAATGTACAGTCCACTCTTAATTTAGAATTTTTTGACTGGCAAATCTCTGCTTTTGAAGCTGGCTAACCAGTGAGGTATGATAAAACAGTGACTAGCTGATTAATTTCTGCAAAGTAGTATACTTCAAACAGAGTAGAAAAATTTTGATACGTTAACCTAAGTCATATAGAAGATATTTTTTTTTCTTTGTGTTTTAATGGATACCTGACACTATTACTATGCTTGAACAGATTTCAGAGGTAGTGCTGGTAGGATGGCTTGTTAACGGAAACACTACAAGCTTACTTTTTGTTTTTGCAGTTCTCAGTGGCCTCTGTTCTAATGACTGTCCTCGGAAAATAACAGTAAGTATAGCTGTAACTTTGCATTACTATTTAGATTCAAATAAGCTGAGGTGTTCTTATAGCAAAACTCTCCACATATTAAGAGAGTTACTGACTGGAAGAATGTGTAAGCCAGATCGTGACTGGCCAGGTTGTGCCTATTTGAGACGCGTTCCTTTGGCCAGCTGCCTGCTCAGAGACCAAGTCCATTAACAGATTCTGCAGCGAGCTTCGTTACCCAGCATCGTGGGGGCTGGGGTACACCACACGCAAGAGAAGCTTGTGTAGTGCAGCTGGATGCCCAGACTGTGGAATGTGCCAAGTCTTGCTCTGGGCAGTCAGAAAGGCCAGGCAAAACTGGTTATGGGGCAGATTCAGCCATATAGCCATTTCTGGACTAAAATACAGTAAGTGGGTACAGTGAAGGATAGAAGGGAAGGAAATATAGTTGGTTCTGATGATTCTGCAGATAGCTACATACACATGTGCTGTTTTCTTGTTCAGTTATTTTAATAATCTCCAGAGACCCTGTAATTCACTCACCAAACTTTCAATTAGCAAGTTTTTTAGCAATGTTCACAGTGAAAGTTGGCCTAAAAGAGGAACTTGGAGGAATCAAAGCTAGCATTAGCACTTTAGCTCTGCAAAGACGTGAAATTAAGTTTTGACTTGAAAATACAAAAACTGCTTAAAATGCAACCAACTTTTCCTTCATGCCTATTTTAAAACAAAGGGTTTAATTTCTGATATAAAATAATGAGGAGGTTTGATAGTATTATTTGCTTAATTACAAAGCTAAAGAGAGGGTTTAAAAAGTGAATCTTCACAACAGATGTCAGTGAATGTTTCATTATCAAGATCATTGAAGCGCTGTTGCCTCCACTGTAATAGAAGTTCTCTGTCAGAAAGCAACAAAGTACATTATGCCAGAATACAGGTATTTGGTGCCCTCCCAAAAAAGTAAAAATCAGATTTTCACCTTATTTACTCATCTTTCATAAATCTGCATTAACATCACCTTTGTGGTCTCCTTACTCTTCATTCTAATCAATTATTATTTTTTAGGCTTTAATCCCATCTCTTATCATTATCACATATTCTTATGGTTTAGAACTTACTGGTTTTTGAAACATGGTGTGAAACATGTCATCATCTCTTTTTTTAGTGTTCTTTGTGTAACTCATTTGAAATATCTTTACCGGATTTGATGCCCTAGTATCAGCTTGAATTCAGCGTTTAAAAAAAGGAGAACTTTAAAATCTGTTCTTACAGTTGTCCCCCTTCACCACCATAGGAGATCATTGTTCCCCCTCCTTTTTATTTAGGTGCATTTGTTGCAGTTCATCACGCTCACAACTCCCTTTGATTATTTTTTTGAATTTACTTTTTTATTTAATTTTTTCCCATAACTGTACTTTGATGTTTAAGTAAATCCTCTCCCTCAAGAGAATTTGCTTGAAATAGATACTGTTACTTGACAAGTAACTATTCAACCGCTTTCATGAATTAAATAACATACTGCTAAACAATGGTAACAACGTTTTGAATTTCTTACCATTTGTTATTGTATTTTTCAAAGCAAAAAGACCATCAAGATAGTGTATTCTCTCAGACATCAAATGAGTTCTGCTTTTTCAGAAAATGCGGTTATTTCTTTGAATTTTTAGGAGGTTTTTATTTTACTTGTGATTTCCAAGGAAACATTGAACTTTTTGCCAGAGGACTGAATAATATTGCTTTCTTCATGAGAAACTGAACTTTACCTAGCCCAGCCAACTGATTAGCCTTATTTTGAAAATTAACTTCCATATAATGCTATGACGAAAACAGTTGCAAGATTTTGAAATTATCCATATCAAAAAGAAATCATTAATCTAGAAATGTTTTTCTTTGGTTTACTGTTTTATTACTATAGCTTTGTCTGTTCCTAAAATTTTGCCTGTTTCTCCCCCCCCCCCTACTTTGTAGCCTTTTGGTGTTAATCAGCCTGGTCCTTACATCATGTACACTACTGTAGATGCAAATGGATACCTGAAAAATGGGTCAGGTAAGATAATCTCATAATGAGAAGACACATGGCATGGTCTGTCTGTATATACTTCTTAGCAACCTAAAGAGTTTGAAAAGTTTAGAGTGTGAAATGGGACTGGCTTTGAATAGTGTCTTCAGTTTACAAGACCGAAAACTCCTAACTTTTTCTTCTTTCTTTACAGATTGCTTATTTATTACAAGCATTGCAACTGCATTCTTTTTTCTTTTCTTGTGTCCCATGCAAGTTGGGTTTGAACACTTGGCTATTATCTTACCCAATCTGAAAAATCGTTAGGTACAATATCATCAGTTTGTGAAATAACATAAGCTTCTAATGATTTTTCTACCAGTTCCTTAGCAATTACGTATTGAGAAACAACAGTGGCCTTGAAATGCCTAAATAGAATCTTGTAGCCACATGAAGAAGGATCAACACAATGTTCAGTAAAGACAGGATGTACTTTTCTGGAGTTATTCACTACATCTGGCAGGCTAACAGGCATCTATAAAATCATGAGTAGCATGAGGAAGAAGATAGAGAGGGAATGGCTGCATTCTTTCACATACTACAAGAACTACAAGGTATCGAAGAATCATTAGGTAACGGTCAAAATAAATGGAAGGAAGCAGTGCTTCATGCAACTTACAGTTTAACTATAGGTTTAGTAGCAGGAGATGTTGCAAATGCCACCATTTAAATGAGTCCAAAAGCAAAGTAGACAAAAAAGAATAATCTATTAGGCTAGGGTCCAAGCAGTGCCTAATTTGAGAATATCCTGGGTTTTATGCTCCCTCCCTAGGTGTATACTACTGGCTCCTAGAAGACACAGGTGACTGTACTAAGTGGTCTCACTTATGACTGTTAATCTTATGACCATAATGGACTCACTTCTTGCTTAGACAAAAAAATCCCAAACTCACAAGCCAGAACATGATCAGAGTATGAATGTCTGTATGTTGTGCCATTCCGACTCCTTCCCAGTGGTGGCAGTCATTGGCACCTGTCATTCCAGTCTTTTTTTAAAATCTGAGTTTAATTTGAAATAAGTTTTCTGTTGTTCACTGGGAAAACTGTATATTATATAACACTAATTTAAATAATAGCAATTATTTAGAGGGAAAAATGCTGACATATTAAAGATGCTAAATCAATGGTAATGCTCTCACCTTGAATACTGTGCTCAGAACTGTAAATTCCGCCCTAGAAGAAATAAAAAGAAAGAGAATGTCCTGAAATATGAACCAGATAGCTGCAAAAACATATCCTGATTATTCTGGAGCATTTCTTTATTCATACATGCCTAAATATGGGTTTGAAATCTTGGAAGTATTAGTCTATATTTTAATCAAACTAATAGGTAATGCTAACATGAAAACGCAGAGTATTTTTTTGTTACACAAATTCATTTTAACAAACTAATTGTCCAGCCAGTTGTACAGTTGGCTTCAACCCTCTGAAGGTTTTCTTCATAAGCTAAATTTAAAAAGAGCTTACATATTTAGTTACAAACACTTAAAACCTCATGATGAGCTCAGAGGTTTTTAGTTACGCTACGCGCTGTTAGACTGTCGGACCCGTGCCCTTGGGCAGCCAGTTCTGGTTGGGTGACAACTGGCATATCTCGTCATTGCCAGTTACCAAGATGAAGGCTTGCAAGCTTTGTCAGAGTCAAGTCATGGTACAGCCTATCTTGTTAACCATATCAGGAAATACTGGTAAAGATCCACACAGGGTCTTTCTCCTTATTCCACAAAAGCCTGGATTCCTGTGGATGGGAAACTTACTTCAGTATGCTGTCTTTTTGGTTGGTTGTGGTCTCTACTAACTTTTGAATCCACTAGCTTGCTTAAGGCAATAATAACTGGAGCATACTTGCCTCAAATAAAACTCTACTAGTTCTGTAAAAATCAGCAGTTCAGTAGAAGACAAAATTCCACATGAGGAAAATACTTTAGTTAGAGATCAACAGTTATTTGGTCTGGTTTTGTCCTCAGGCTGGCCATATGGTCAGCACGCGTGCAGTTGCAGTTAGCCATAGCCTGAAATGTTCTTGCCCAAGCAATGACAGAGCAGCATAGCAGGAAAAAGCTTAGTGAACTGTGGAGTGTTTATGGGGAAATAGAAGATAAAGCTAGAAGATGTTGCAGGTTTCACACAGGAAGTAGGGCTGCTTGCAAAGACATGCAGGATTCATATTTGTACAAATACAGACATCCTTAATTTCACAGCTTCTATCCTGGTTTTGAAGGCATTTTGCCTCGGGGCACGTTTCTAGACATTCCTACTGTATCATCCATATTAATTTAATCCAGATTGGAGTGCCTTTTCTATTCTGTTCTTCTTGACGACTGGGTATCTTTGGTTTTGTCCTCTTTTTTGCTTCCACATTGCATGCTGGCTTTAAAGTTGAGTTTCTGATAGGATACCGGTAAGAGCTATACTGTGAAGTACAAGCAATTTTGTGGTACCTGCTCCTTTCTTTAAAAGACACATGAGTACTTGTTTTTCAAAACAACAAAAGTATATACCGTTTGGAATGTACGTCATATCTTAGTAAAGAGTAAAAACTTTTATTTTCACAAATTCATGTAATAAAGATTGGAGTTCATTAATCTCTCATGCTATTAATTAAACTACTTGCAGTTGATCACTGCCCCTCTGTACCCTTGGGGGCTACCTTCTTGCAATAATGACTTACTGATAAAGTTTCTTCTTGAGAGCTGCTGTCAGAGGTACTGGAAGTTACTGGAATTTCTGTATTACAAAATTTCTTTCCAGCCTGTCACTAAGTGAATTCAGTGGGTGAACATGCATCTAAATGAAGAAATCAGTGGGTTTACAGAAGTGTGATGTATTTATTCCTTCAGGCACAGTGGAACTTAATGCAGGCCTGCCTAAATTTGGTGGACCTGTGTGAGTATGAACTAAACGACAGCACAGCTTCATGGCGCCTTTGGCCATGTAGCCTGTGAACAGATACCTGCACATAATCATCTTGTCAGGGAATCAAGACTACTGATGAATAACACTGCCTAAGTCACAAAAAAAGACATTTTTTTGCATAAGAAAAGAAACACATTAGCAAAATCATCAAATTGACCCTTTTTTTCTTCTTTAGGAAAGTGCTATTAAAAGGCTATAAATCAAAAAAAAACTACAACATAACCTTTGTTTAGATCTGATTATACTTATTTAAATTCGTTGTTCGTGTAGTCAGAGAAGTTTTAAACTCTAGCTTCTTATTTGTAATTAACATACTCTCAGACTTAGAAATCTGATATTTTAAGTGAACTTATACAATACATTTTAAAGAATCATGTCTAACAGCTAGTAGAACCTTTATTATTAGATTCTTTAAAATATTTTATATTTGGGATATTATAAATAGTAACTGTAGAGGACTGAAACTTGGCATATCTGGATGATATATTACATGCTGCTTTTTAAAATAAATTTGATCGTTATAAATTGACATAATTTTAATCAGATGACAAAATAATGGATTTGTGGCATCTCAAGGGCCAAATATCTATTAAAAGGTTAATTCACCACAGTATAAGCTGATTCTAAACGTCACTTTGAGGAAATACAAGTTTAGATGGGTTTGTTTTGTGTTTGTGCATGTTTGACCCTTTGGCCCTGACTATTTAAGCAAGCTTAGAAAGCAACCCAGTCACAAAATAAAGATTTTCTTCCAGCTATAGGCCTCTGTGTCAAGGAAGAATGCACATAGCTTACAAATTCCTTGTGTCTGTGGGGAATAAAGCCAGCTTAAAACTTGCACCTATTTCATGTATCATTTTCTTAAATTTTTGATCTGGTTCTCTCCTTCAAGAAAAAAAACAAATACTTTTTTCTTAAGCATTGTCTTTAGCGTTTGGTTGTTTAGGGTTGTTTGGTTGGTTTTGGCGTGGGTTTTTTTTTGAGGGAGTAGGGCGGTGCTTTTAGAAATGCAATGTTTTTACAATTTACTCTAGAAAGAGCTATCAAATATGATTTAATACTGGTATAATACCATCCATCTTTACTGCTACCATGTTTACAATAATAAAAACCTAACAGAGTCCAATCATGATGAATTTCCTTTTCTGGTTTGGCATTATGAAATAACAGTAATGAATTTCAAGAGCGTTTATGACCCTAGCAGTATTGCTACAGGGAATTTTGTAATACTGTCTTTGATCAGTTTCTCAACTGTAATATGTTAATAGATTTCTGAGTCTGTATAATTCCTGCAAGAACTTTTCAAAGTCACATTTTCTGAAGCTATTATATTAAGTTTGTAGCTAAACTTTCTTCTTTTACAAGTCCTACTTGTAAAATTCAGTAAAAGTTCTTCTAACTAGAATTACTGGCCTGCAGGTTATTATCTTGAAAAGCAGTCTTACATCAGAATCGTATACTGTTTGGCTATCAAGAAATACCTCGAGCAACACTTTTATAAATGTGTACTGGCGGGCAATACCAAACCCACACAGCGTTTTTGGGCCATATGTAAACTTACAAAACATCTCTTCCACATTAAGCCGTTAAAAGTATGGCATAAATATACTATTTTAAAACTAATTTTCACCAACTTATTTGCATTCCTTATATAATACCATGGAACACTCCATATCTAAAGCTTTTAATTATATGAAACCAATAATGAAAGAATCTGATAGTTTGTAATGATATTATTTTAGCATAATTCATCTCTTTCCCAAGAAGTAATATGAGTAACAACATAGTTCTTTTTCTAATTAAAACAATGCTCAGAACTCAGGTTGTTTTTTTTCAAATCAGCTCATCGCATTTGTTGTCTTTACCACTGGGAAGGGGAAGATTTACTGGCTAGACCACTGAAACCCAACTATCCAGTCACCTCAGTTATCCTTCCAGCCCTGGGCTGAAGGAAATCATACAGTACTCAACAAAATGTCCACCATTCTGCTTCTGATCTTCTCAATTCTGCAGGTCTTTAGTTCTGAATTATGGTATCTTTCATGTATGCAATATTAATGCAAAGAGTAAAA